ACCCTACCCCAATTGTGTCAGGAAATACATTCCAACCAAGCAGCAGTTGCAAATTTGCTCACCCAGGCAGAGGCAGGATTCTTTCTAGAGCTCTCTCTTAAGGAACATGTTTTTCCTCTTTCAGGGCTCCATCTCCTTTGAGGAGGTGGCGGTGTATTTCACGGAGGAGGAGTGGGCACTGCTGGATTGTGGCCAAAGAGCCTTATGCAGGGAAGTCATGCTGGAGAATTCCAGGAATGTAGCCACTCTGGGTGAGGCCCCTCTTAGCACTGAGTTCAGTTCATTGGAATGAGATGGGCGGTGACAAATTTGAAATAGAAATAAATAAATAAATAAAATAAAAAAAGGATTGTGTAGTCAGAAGAATCAGGGAACATCTCTTTGTTAGAAGGAGACAAAGTGTTTATCCTAAGCCCTGAGGAAGGGGAGAGTATCTGTTAGAAGTACGATGGGGTCATTTCCTATCTGGGATGTGACAGCAATGTGAGAATTCCAGTTTTTCTCTAACCCCCCCCAAGGGCAGATTAATGGAATAGCTTTACATGACGATTCCTCTGGCATGTGTCCCTCTGACTTTTGTTCCCCTGGGCCACTAACTTCCAATAGCAGTTGTGCAGACAGACTGTTAGTTCAAATGCCTCTCCATCCTGCTAATTCATATGTCACTTCTAAATTCTCTGTACAACTCAGAACCGGCTGTGTTCTTCCCTGGCCTCTGACTGCTGACCCCTATCAGAGATTGACAAGCTATTGTTAAAACAACAATTTCCCCCTTTTTCCTTGAATTTTTTCAACGGATCAATTTCAAAAAGACACTTCATCATTTTGGTGTTGCATCAGCCAGCCTGCCCTCAATACTAGCTTTCCAGGAAAGGAAAAGTGAAGGCAGGCTGTCTCTGTTACTTACCCACAACTCCTGTGCAGGTTACTGATAATCAAACTGGTCATGGGCAAAGCCCAAACTTAGACAGAAAACAAAGAGGGCCAACTCAGGCAGACACCCCAAAGGCATCAATTTGGCTCAAGCCAAGAGTTCCTAAGATGAAATCAGTTTTGGGCAGATCTCCTACTGTAACACCCCAATGGTGTTTTTCACAGTTACATCTGCACTCAGACAGAACAGGGAGTACTCTTACAGTAGACATAAATGCTACAAGTTCACACATGTAATGGTATGTGGGAATGACCTTGGGAGACGGGGAAAGAGATGCTGCCTAGGGTACTGTCAGATAAGAGAGGGCTTAGCGCGCAGCTGTGTAACAAGCAGAGAAAGAAACTCAGAAAGGAACCTCCCTAACTTATCAGGCTGTAAAAGAGACAGTGGGAGATGTGTACTTTCAGATTTGCAAGATTGTTGTCAGCCTCCTGAGGTTGACCAGACAGGAAACATTAGTAAGCTAATTCTACTTTATTGTAAAGCTACATTAACATAATTCTTGCATGGCAACCTCAAAGCAAAAGGGGGAATTCTGCTGTCTGCAGGCCTTTTTCTTTCTTTCCCATTAGCAAATGTGGGGTTCCCAGTCATTTGAAAGTCACACTCTAACGAACTTAGGCCTGGTGCAATGATACAAGGCAAAGGGTATCTCCAAAATTTATTTCTGCTTTAGATGTGAAGGGATATATTCATCAACTTCACAATTACTTGTAAAAAGAGAGAAATTCCACACACCCCCAGGAAGCGATGGGTAGAAGTCATGTAAAACGCCATTCATACGGGCACAACATAATGTAACATCTGAATTTCTGCTCTGAATGCTTAAGGGAAGATGGGTTGTATATACCATTCTGGTAGTTCCTGTAGATCAATCTTTGTCTCTTTTGCCTACCCTTGCTGCCCCATTGCTTCTGATTATTTAGTCTTGTGGAAGCCGATACTAGAGTTTTATCATGATGAAAAATCAACAGTTATAAAATGAACTTATGAGTCAGTACAACAAATAAAAAGTAAGCTCACTTTTTAAATCAAAGTATACAAATAGGAAATATGGGAGATCTTACAGAAATAACAGGTGCATCTTATTTTTGCCTTGAACCTGCTAATGGCCTGTGTTTCTGCTTAAAATATTTGATGTGAAATTTTCTTTTCTTTTTTCCCCAAAGCTGGTGATGAAGAGGAGAATGAGGATTACAAGGAGCCATTACAGAGAACCAAGCATGTAGTAGGAGGAGAGATGTGTGGAAATCAAGGGGGACAAAAAACCCAAGAGAGAAGCCAGTCAAGGAAAGGAAAGGAAAAGTCCTCTATTTCTCTCTTTGCAGAAATCCATGACTTCTTAACCCAACAAGATCACAAAGGAAAAAGGAAGAGGAAATATCCAGAGTACAGCGAAACAGACAAATTCAATTTAATTAGACAACACAGAACCTACACAAAAGAAAGAAAACATGAATTCAGAGAGCATGGAGAAAGTAGTGGTCATAACTTCCCTCTTTCATTACATCAAAGCATATACATGAAACAGAAATTATATACACTTATTAGAGGTGGGAAAAATTTTAGTTTGAGTCATCACCTTACTTCTCAAAAAGAGAATCACAGAGAGGAGAAATTATATAACTGCTTTGAGTGTAGAAAGGGTTTCAGTAAGAGACTGTTGCTTATTTTACATCAAAAAATCCACACAAGGGAGAAAACACACAGATGCATGGACTGCGGAAGGAATTTCAGGCGCAACAGTCATCTTCATTCCCATAAAAGGATCCACACGGGGGACAAACCATACAAATGCACCGAGTGTGGAAAGAGATTCAGTGAGAGCAGTTACCTCAATTCTCATAAAAGGATCCACACCGGAGAGAAACCATATAAATGCATGAAGTGTGGAAAGACCTTTAGGCACAACAGTAGCTTCAATTCCCATAAAAGGATCCATACAGGGGAAAAGCCATATGAATGTCTGGAGTGTGGAAAAAGTTTCAGTCGGAGCAGTAACTTTAATAAGCATAAACAAATCCACACAAGGGAAAGCAAATATAAATGCATGGTGTGTGGAAAGAGGTTTAATAGGAGTAGTAGTCTTACGAAACATGCAACAATTCACACAGGGGAGAAACCCTATAAATGCTTGGAGTGTGGAAAGAGTTTTAGTCACAACAGTAGCCTTACTTCCCATAAAAGGATACACACAGGAGAGAGAGCATATAAATGCCTAGAGTGTGGAAAAAACTTCAGTAGGAGCAGTTCTCTTATGAAACATAAAATGATCCACACAGGAGAGAAACTGTATAAGTGCCTGGAATGTGGGAAGAGATTCACAGTGAGTAGCACCCTTATTTCCCATGCAAGAGTCCACACAGGAGAGAAACCATATAAATGTTTAGAGTGTGGAAAGAGTTTCAGTTTTAGCAGTCATCTGACTTCCCATAAAAGGACCCACACAGGAGAAAAACCATATCAATGTATGGAGTGTGAAAAAAGCTTCAGTCGGAGCAGTAGTTTTATGAAACATAAAAGAATCCACACAGGGGAGAAACCCTATAAATGCACTGAGTGTGGAAAGAGCTTCAGCCAGAGTGGTCACCTGACTTCCCATAAGAGGACCCACACGGGAGAGAAACCATATAAATGCCCAGAATGTGGAAAAAGTTTTGGTCGGAGCAGTAGCTTTTTCAAACATAAAAGAATCCACACAGGAGAAAAACCCTATAAATGCCCAGAGTGTGAAAAGAGTTTCAGTACAAACACAGCCCTTACTTCCCATAAGAGGGTTCACAGTGGGGAGAAACCATATGGCTGCTTGGAGTGTGGAAAAAACTTCAGTCTGAGCAGTGGCCTTACTTCCCATCAAAGGATCCACACAGGAGAAAAGCCCTATAAATGTGTGGAGTGTGGAAAGACCTTTCGCACCTGCAGTAGCCTTATTGTACATAAAATGATTCATTCAGGGGAGAAGCCATACAAATGCTTAGAGTGTGGAAAGAGCTTTAGTCAAAATAACAGTCTTATTTCCCATCAAAGAATCCACACAGGAGAAAAACCATATCAATGTGTGGAATGTGGAAAGAACTTTCGTACTTGCAGTAGCCTTGTTGCACATAAAATGATCCATACCGGGGAGAAGCCGTATGAATGTATAGAGTGCGGAAAGAGCTTTAGCAGGAGTAGTAGCCTTACTTCCCATCAAAAGATCCACATAGCAGGGAAAGCATATCAGTGTGTGGAATGTGGGAAGAATTTCCCCAACTGTGGTAACCTTATTGCACATAAAATGTTCCCTGCAGGGGAGGCACTATATAAATGCATGGAGTGTGGAAACAGCTTCAGTTAGAGCAGTGACCTTACTAACATAAAAAGGATCTGAATAAGGGACAGTCCTTTTAAATGCTCGGTTTCAATATGCATAAGAAAATCTCTCATAAGAGAAAATCTAAGAAGTGTGGAAACAGCTTCAGCACGAACAGGCATATTTTTCATGTTATTGAACTTATACAATGGTATCCAAATGAACTGGGATTGTGCAGTCTTCTCTAGAATTACCTCAGTACTTATTCTTTAAGTGATCTGCTGAAGGTCACATTTCCAAAAAAAAGGGGGGGGGAGAGGCCAGGAACAAATTATATTTCATTCATTCATCTGTGTAGATGTGGCCTTCAGCAGATTTAGTGTGAATATTATTAGCCGTATGATTAAGTAGACATCATATGATTATTTCTGACTCATATTTAATATTTTTCCTCTTCAGATTAGAAAATGACAATGTGGGGAAAAATTTTCAAGACCATTCCCTATCTGAAGCTTGAGAATGGCAGGAGATATGGTTGGGAAGTACCTATTTACTTGAAGTTGAGTCTAAAGCTAAATTAATTGCATACTAGAGTTCTGATGTCAATATCTGATAATCTGGACAAAACTTTATGTACTATGTCTGAGTAATGCCAGAGAAAAAATAAAGTGTCAGGTTACTGGAGGAGGCAAATGTCTCTACCTGGAAAAGAGGAACAGCCAGGGAACCATAGATTACTTTGACATTGATGCCTCGGTAAATTTTGGAGCAGATCAGAAAGTGGTTAATCAACAATGCGGTGATTAGTAAAGAAATCAACCTGGATTTGTCAAGAACAACAACTGTCAGACAAGCATTATTTTACATTTTATTTTATCTTTAGTAGATGGTGGAATGCTGTGGATATAATATATCTTAATTTCTGCAAAGCATTTGACAAAGTATCTCCTGACATTCTGCTGAGCTAGCTATCAAGCATGGGCTGGATCCTGTGGCTTGAAAGAATGCTCACCGTCCAATGAGTGAGATACCAGGTGTTTGCCACTGGATTTGATTCTGGCCTAGGAAACATCAAAGGCTAGGATGAAGTAGGAATGCTTAGCAACATTTGCAGATGACCCAAAAATGCCTGGGCTAGCCACTCTAGAACATAAAAACAAATTCAATATTGTATGGATAGGGTTGAGAAGTGAGCTTGGTAATAATACTTGAGAAAAGATCTAAAAGTAGTCATTGATTGCAACTGACTATGCATCTGTGATTTGATGAAGCTGCCCAAAAGGAAATTGCAGTTTTAGTCTATATCAAATAAATACTATTTCTGAATCAAGAAGAAGTAATTGGTCCACTATATTAATTAGATCTTACCTTGACTATTGTGCCCAGATCTAAGTGCTACATTTTTAGAAAGGTTCAAAGAAACTGGAGGAGATAGGCTTTGAGGATTATCAAGAACCTAAAGACTAAATCCCATGGAGAGAGATTGAAGCAACATTGTGTGTTTAGCTGTGTGAAAATATGAATGAGGAGGGATGTGATAATATTTTTCAAGTTTTTGAAGAAATGTCACATGGAAAGTCAAGATGCAGTCTTTGCTGTTGCAGAACACAAGACGCAGAATAATGGCAGAATGCAGCTATTAGGAAAACAAAAAAGTGAGATTATTTACCAAGGAAAATTCAGATGTTCAAGCCAAAGCAAGACATCCACATTTTGGAGCATACTGAATGTGGATTCCTGCCTAAAGCTGGACTTGAACTTGGGGGCCTCATGGCCCCTTTATGATTCTCTTGAATGTTTTTCTTGTCAGGTTCGGTCAGCACGAGGCTTCAGGGAAGCACGGGGCTGCAGGGAAGCTCGCAACCAGACCACGCGGAATCCACCGGCGGTAGCTAGCGGGGAAAAGAGGAACCGAAAGCGCCGCTAATTAACGAGCCACCTGCGGCCAGCTAAACCGGAAAACCGCAGCGGAAGCTTTTAACTATGAACTGATAACGGCGCGAGCATGAAAGAAACGGGGCCACAGGGCAGCGAAACAAGAACGCAACGCAGCACAGAACCCGCGGGCCTGCACGTAGCAGGGAGGGACCAACCCAGCCGGAGGGGGA